CTTTCGGCGAATAATTGTTAAATACTGATATCGAAGGAACTAGGCTCAGTTCCGAAATATCGCATACTCGAACCGATCTGACCGCGTAACGTAGTTGGCAGAGCATTGGGCTAGTATTTCAAAGGTCGTAGGTTCGATTCCCACCGTGGCCAGGCATATTTTTCAAGCCTGCCCGGTGTGGATATACAATCAGAGTAACATCACACAAACATACAATGCATTGTTTTGCAAAACTAAAGTGCACCAGAATACGATTAATTTAACACCCAATGGCAATCTCGTTTCCAGAATGCCTGTTCGCCGGATATATGTAGTGGCGGCATGCCACTACATAACCCGCGAACATGCAGGCATACTCTGGGAACGAGATTGATCCAATGGCAATGTCAGACTTTTAAACAACTTCTTTTTCTATTCTGTCCTTTGCCGGTTAGGAAGATAATTTTGTTCAAGGTTTTATAGTAGAGAATTCAAAGCAGATATATTTCACAGAAACAATACGTTATAGTGAACTGCGATAATATGGTTCAACTTTCCGCGCCTTCGATATGCGAAATAATCTTGAGAAATACCTAAAAATTTTATCAATATATCGATATGCAGTCTATTACAAGTTAAATTATTAATTTCCAATAAATAAGGAGTAAGCACTTACCAGGCCGATGAACAATTATCTAACATCAGAAAACCACGCAGACCAGGCAAAGATATTTTCAAGTTTCTAGTGATAATGAACTGTACAGATCAGCAAGCAGTGGTACTAGGTTGAGCACAGCAATCACAGTTCTTTAATTTGTACTCAAATATAGATTTCAGTACAGTATAAGCTAAGTCACGGACATTTTGACATCTAGTATGAAGGCGGATGACAATATGTTGTTTGTATACCGTTTTCCATGCAATTATAGTAATTATCAACATGCAAGCTTTGAAGCGCGACCAATTTCTAAAGCTCAGTGGGGGAATTCTCGAAGCAGGTTTTGTGGCGTTCCCTTCGCTATACAAATAATTACAATATCCGTGCCAAAAATAAACTATAAATTATATAGATTCTCAAATTCTTAAGGTCGAATTTAGGCAAAGATATGTACATTCAACCTCTGTAATGCGGACCAATATTATTATGAGACAACGCAAAATGTCCATATATTATTGTTTTACATTTTTACTGAAATTTAAAAAATGCGCGAGGCTGCAAATTTTCCGGTGTTTCTTTACAATTCATATAGAAACGTAACACGCTTCCCGACCAATCTGCGCTCGAGTTCGAGCGAAATGAAGTTGGGTATACATGTGCAATAAAGATAAATTAGGCTTCGCGAGAAAAATTCGGGTTCCATTTTCGTGTCACGCAGTCACAAAATATGACGAAATATGATTGGTTAGGAGGTTAGGGATGGGGATTGGGTGAAGTTTCGTTATTGTGTGACATGAAAGCATAACCAAAATTCGCTTCACCAGTGAGTAAAAGTGAGTTCTACTAACTACGAAAGAGGAAAAAGTGGGAAAAATCAATGGAATCGCCAATCTAGCTCGTACCCAGCATCTTTCCTCTTGTGGGGAAACGATCCTGGTAGACGCTGGTCACGTGATCTGCTAAAATCTAGCAGATTTTTAATTAGCAATCCAAGATGAGGTCAAGAAATATTTGATATTTGGATAATTTTTATAGTTTAATTTATAATTTGCTTTTTGTATGATTGTCGTAAAGGAATCCAAGATAGTTAATTAGAAATCTGCTAGATTTCGCAGATCACGTGACCAGCGTCTGCTATGGTCTTTTCTCCACAAGAGGAAAGACCCTGGGTACGAGGTTGTGGAACCGCTCATGCATGCAACCAACCGTATTTCGCAGACGCAATTTCTCGCGGAGAATTTCGCCGTCGTGGAATCAGGCCTTTGCAAATACATGCAGTATTTCTCTTCTTAACAACAAAATATTCTGGCCTTAACTTTAAATTTAATGAGAACCTTAAAGTCTATGAGGTCTAAGGGGCTGTTTATATTGTCCCATTTACTCGGGATTCAATAAAATGTGCCGCATTTTAAGCAATTGTAATACGTGTTTCAGCCCTAAACAAAAGTTAGATAACTTGATTGGAACGCGCTAGAAGTTATGTAGTGGAAGAAGACGATTAACTAACGTTAAACAACATCTGTTTTTTGTCTAAAACATAGAATTGCATACAATTTGTAACAAGCAGTTTTGTAAGACTTATTTCAATTGCTCAAAATACGTCACACTTCATTGAATTCCAGGTAAGCGGGACCATATAAACAGCCCCCTGATATAGATTTGAAATTAGTGCGTAGTATTATTTCTAGAGCATGCATGCATGCATGCATGCAGTGCCTTCGCATTGTGCACGTGTTAATAATAAACGAGTGTTTAAATCCCAAAGAGTGAAATGTTAAAAATCAATCTGACTCCGATGCATTTTCTCGTTGTCCTCGTATAGTCGTCAGAGTCGGAAGTGTTCCAAGTCACTTGCTATGTTGTTGATATCATTTTGTTGACTATACTGGCACACTCCCAGCGTACAGAACTGACAAAGACTTTTTTGATGAGGGGCAGACATATCTGCTGGAATATATCTGTTCTCGGTTGCACTGGTGGTGGGAACATCAATTCCACCATAGAACTTTTGCTTAGCCTGCTCAGCAGACCCCACCCGAAAATGTGAAGCAGAAAAGTAGGGGTCTGCTAAAACGCGAACCTAATCGTGTTCCGTGACGTCGCACCGCTTGCATAAATTACTGCTTTCGCGCTTTGTTTTTGGGTCATGAATTATTAATGGAGGAAAGCGTTCCTGTTTCTTGTTCGGAAGAATTCGACAGTTTCTCGTGTGTTTTGTGTTTCCGTGTGATTGAAAAAGCCCACGAAAGATATTTAGTGTTAGGGAAGTCCAAATTTAATGTGAAAGAGGCCATCGAGAAATTACCTTTTGAAGTATCGTATATTTCTTCCGCTCATATCTGCCGACAGTGTTTGGCCAAATTACAAAAAAGATCAAGCTTACTTTTGCAAGAAAGAAACATTGTTGCGGAGCTCACTAGTGTTTACCAGAAAGGAAAATATAAAAGGCAGCAAGATACGACAGAAGAGGGACCAGTAACAAAACGATCGAACGTGTCCATCGCAGATGTCGAGACAACATCAAAGGCTAAGCCAGCGTTTCAACAAGGTAAAAGTAAAACTTCTCGTGAATTGGATTTCTTAATCGCTAGTTCTCCTCCGACTGTTCCATTAAGTCATTCCACTCCTGTTAAAGAACACCAACCCGCTAGAACATCTGTGAACGTAAGAGTATCATGGCCGAGTAAAACTGTTGAAAAACAATTGCATCCAGACTTAGAGTCACTATGGAAAATGCTGGTCCGTGGTACTTATAAACAAATAGCCAATGCAGCATGGAACAGCAAACAGATCAGAAAGCATCTCACCGTCAACGTCCTAAAACAAATTGACAAGGAGTGCTCAA